AGCAGGAAAATGTTCGATTCGTGAGACATCCAAGAAGTTTTTAACATTCTTCGATGTGTACATAATTCAAAAGCTTTAATCTTTTATTTGTCTAATTTTTAGATACTTCAAATTAGTCTATGGTACATATTTATATATACATATTTTGTAATGAAAAATTACTAATACGATATTTATGTTTAATTTTCTGATGTTGAGTCTTTCAAGCTCACTGTTTTAATAATTACAAATATTTTTTAAATTATTTTTATTACACGTAAAATAAATATTTACTACTTGTCTATAACTATATTCAAATATTTTGAATTATTTTTCATGTTTTGATAATTTTTTTATTATCAACATATAAATATTTTATATTTATATCTTATAATTTACTTATATATGTATTTCTTGAAAAGTATTAAAAAAATCAAGTTGATTTTATTATTGTCAATTACGTAAACATTTGCTTGACCAATGCTGTTCCCCACACGTTTTTCTTGTATATCAGTTATTGTTATCTAACAAAACGATTGTTTATAAATTCTTCACATATCTTGTTTATATAATGTGCAATTAATAAACGCTACTCAACATCGACAAAGTCAGCATTCAGCATTCTAAACATACTCGCAGATAGTGTTTTAATTTCAAGCAATTGTTGCATGCACGATTTGTTCTTTTGGATTTGTGAAAAAGATACAAAACTGATGACGGTTATGTTGATAAAAATGTACACTACTCTTCAATATAATCTATCTACAAATATATATTTTATACATAAATTGAAATTTTTACAATATATATAAAATAATAATAAGATTGTTTTTTTTATTTATTTCTTAGTAATTTTGAGTACACTTGGAAAGTATCTGATCGTTTTTGACGAAATTTTAAAAGAATACAATTGTACGAGATACGGTAATGTGACGAAAAAAGCATACTTCTTTTTTGTATAAAAAAAAAGTGTCTTATCTTATCTGATATTGCGATACCAGATTAGATTCTTATTTCTAGCGAAAGTGTACATCACTCAGTATGCGCGCCTTATTTGCGAATTGTATTAGGAGTTCAACAGCATCCTCAGGCGTGTGTTCCAATCATATAAAATTGAGAAGCCTGAGTTCTCGAGAGAACCATGCACTTACACAGCAGATGCTTCAGAGTTTCCACTGCATCAATGTTTTTTTATGGTATATAACTTTGAATTATAATTGTTACCAGAAAAAAATTTAATCAAATAAGATGTAGTACTAGAAAAGCTGCAATAATATGAACAATTTTATTCCTAATAGGAAATTTAGAGCATTTAATTATAAATATCTAATAGCAAAACAAAAAGAATTAAGTCAAGGTTGAGCAACAAACTATTATATATTGTCATAAATAAAGCACATGTAAACTGCAAATATATAACACAATAATTGGGTTATTCATGGTATTGAGTAATAAAATCGGTAATCGAGTAATATGTTGACCCACTAAAATGGTAACAACAAAATACATGTAGCCTACATGTATTTTGTTATTGTCGCCTTGTACATTTACTATATTACTCGGGTAGCGGGGTCTTTGCGCGAGATCGTGTAGAGGTCAATAGAGGTCTATTGATTTTTAAGCCTTGTGACTTCAATATTTAAAATTTATTTTCACTTTAATATATTATATAGATATACCTATTACACAGTGAGAGGTTTATGGTTACACTTTTATTAATATATATATGATTATCCGATCTAATCAGGGGCGTATATATAGATTGCTTAAGGAAGGTATGTTAACGCTAATTTAAAGTGCATATATAAACATTTTAATTAACTAAAATTCATTATATATATAATGATTCCAGATATAATGAGACAATGAACGCCACATGACACGAACTAACCAACAGCCAATTGATAAAGAAAAAATTCAGAGGAAATACGGATGGCTGGGGTATACTTTTCGCAAGCCAAACACCGAAATTGTTCATGCCGCATTCGAATGGAATCCGCAGGGAAGAAGAAATCACGAGCAAATTATTTAGTGAGCTAAGAGCAACAGCGCGAAATCGTAGTACTCGTAATTGGAAATCTCTTGTGATTAGATCTCTTGTGATAAATGTTATTTCTGAACATGTCAATACATGTATAACATGTATAATTCTTTTAGGGTGGAGATGAGGTGGAGGTGTATGAACCACAAACCCCACTGAAAGCAATATACCATTAAAACAAATACAAATTTTAGTTAATAACTGTAATAAAATGAAATATCAGTATAAATCTTTTGATAGGATTACATTTCGTGACAGTTTGCATGAGTGGAGTGAAGAGGTTTACTTTGTAATTGATATGAGTTTAATTCATAAACATATGAATGTAAAATGAGATTTTAAATGTAAGATTTGATTACATTAATAACTGTCTACGGATTTTTTACTCAAGATACGTGGACGTTTTGTACTATAGCACTATATTTTAAAGGTAAAAATCTTTATAAAGATTTAGTTTATTTTTACTAAAAGCAAAAAAATTTTAACAAAATTTAATAAAATCATATATTTTTGTCATATATTCTGATCTTACTCAACTAATAATGCAACATAATAAATATTAAATAATATAAAATATTTCACAATAATACTACACAAATAGATCGTGAGATTCTCTTTATTTAAATTGTGTACCGTAAGAAACGGGTGAATTGCTATCATATATATGCACCCTAGCAGCACTTTTATTTATGATTTAATGCTGCTGCTTAGGCAAGTAGTTTTTCTGTGTTGCATTCTTAATATAAAACTTTGAGAATAAATAAAACTTTTAAATGGTTTAATTATGCAATATTTATTCTGTTAATTATGAAATATGTTGGTAAAAAGTGTGTTAACATGAATTTATTATACAACCACAAAGTGTAGAACCAAATATATAAAATGTAAAATTTAATTCTACGGTAGCTTGAATAGAAGAAACTTACTTCCCACATACATTCACTTCACTCACAATTTATGCCGTTTTTATTATTTAACCAGAAAGAAAAATTCTTAGATACAATTTTGTTTTATTTGTACGTTTCTTGGTTCGGTAATAATATAATAATGTTATATTATTAAGAAATAGCAATATTTTTTATGTATTTATCATACTATTTAGTGCTGACAGCGTAAATAATTGCTTAAGAATTTTGTATGATTTTCAAATATTTAATAAAGGTTAGACCAATTTGCAGATATTATTTTGTATATATTTTCAGTACGAGCACAGTTTAAAGTATTTATGCAAATTATGTTAAGAAATTATATTATTTAAATTGTTATTGTGTTTTGAGCGCAAAGCGATTTAAATGATTTGGTGAGTTGACAAACCTTATGGCGAATTTATAAAGTTTGATTTATTTTTTTACGAAAAATTAAATATAAATTTCAATTGCTTCAAGTAGAATAATATTAAAGAAAACTTTAATTTGAAAAAAAATTATTCTTTATTTCTATTATTTAATGCTTTTATAGGAAAATAAAAAGCTAGAAGGTATAAATAGTAATAAAATATAAAATTAATTATATTTATTCTTATTTAAGTTATTTTTCTGATAAACCATATAATTGTATCATTAGTTTAAGCATCTAAAACTTAAGTCAGATTTGACAGAAATTATATTTAACACTTGGTTTTGGCACTTTAGCATTTATATATATATATATATATAGTTCAATTCATATATATGTTAAATAGTATTTCGTTATGCCTAAAGAAGTTAAAAAATTTAGTTAATAAAAACAGCACAAAAGATCAATCTGGTCGCAGTGCTTTGCTCCGTTGGAAGCTAGTACCCCGTATATTTTTAGTTAATAAAAAAAATAATATTAGCACAACTTCTTTAATAGACTGATAGAACTAATAGAGTTTGAAAATATGATATATACGCAGAAAATTAAAAATAAGCATAAAAATTAATGTTTATTTTAAAAAAATAGTACTGAGATCTCACAAATGAAGCTCTAGTAGTTATTTCAATTATGTGTAACTGTGGTATATACATTCGTTTAAGTATAAAACTTCAAGTCCAAACAACCAAAAACAAGTACAAGTGGGTTATTTGTCTAAAACATAACTGATTACTTCAAATTACATGTAATTCGGATTATATTAATTAGTTTACATAAAATGAATTAAACATAAAAAATTTATAGTTTTTTATTTGTTTACACTTGAGTTGCTATTAAGAAATGAACTCTAAACTTTTGCATTTAAATAAAAATTATTTTCAAAGATGTATTTCAGGTAATATATAACAAGATTTTTTATTTTTAATTTAGTCCATCTTAAATGTATAAATTATTATATATATATTTTTATTTAATTATATATTTACATTTTTATTAATTTAAAATTTTTATATTATACATAATTTCTATATAAAGTTAGCATGAATTTATAATTATTATAATTTTTATTATGTTGAAGCTATTTGAGCCAGTGCACTTAAGCACTTTCACTCTTTCTTAACTCGAGGTATTTTCAAAACCCCCCTATTATTGTTTCATCAGACTAAGCAATAATTGACCTCAGATCTGCATATCTCCCTGAGGAGCCTGAAACCATTATATATTTATAATTATTATGTATTTAAAATTATTATATTTTTATATTTATTATATATTTATAATTATTATATAAATATAATTATTATGTATTTATAATTATTATATATTTATAGTTATTATATATTTATTATTATTATATTTTTATATTTATTATATATTTTTAATTATTATATACCTATAATAATTATATATTTACAATTATTATGCATTAATAATTATTCTAATAATTGAATATTTTATTTTTTGTTGCTTATGCAATCATGCAACTATATAAATACTATACCACTACTATATCATAAACTTAGATTTATTGTTCTTATTACAATGTTTAGTACTTAAATACACAATTAATTATTAATAATAAAACCTAAAAATATTTATTTCATATCAAAAACACAAATATATTTCATATTAAAATAGTTCATACCATTTGTTCCAATTTCAATAGGTAATCCATGGCAGAAGTCTTCATTTTCATTTATATTTATTTTTTATAAACAAAATATCACGTAATTTTTACCAACTAATAGAATCTATTAATCAATTTTTTTTTGTATTTAAATTTTTTTTATAACTTAAACTAATTAAGTTCTTTCAAATTTTTTTCTTATTTTTTAAACACATAATTTTCCAATTATTTTATAATACACTTTACATTCCTGTTAAAGCCATTGCTATCACACAAAAGACTTAAACAACAAACTTATCCCGTTTCGTTCTTTCACTTCGACTGTAAACTTTGTACTAAATTAAATTTCTTCTGCATTAAACGTATTTGTTCTTCATCAGCTACTAAGTATGCTGATCAGCAGAAATTGAAATTCGAAGCAAAAAAAAAACAAAAAAAAAAACTGATAATTTATGAATATGTATAAAACGTACACAAAATTTAAAAATATCTATAAAAGCTACCAGAATAGCATAAAATATTATCACAGAAAATGCCGTTCTTTATACAATGCTACAATGCTCGTCTGATTTAACCTACAGCGCAGCGAAAAAATATAAACAAAAACACGTCCGCATTACACAAAAGATAGAATTATTCTTAAGATTATGGTGAAAGAGAATCATCAATGGACCGTTCTGTTTCACAATTGGTTAGTTAATAGTTAAGCTGAAGAATATGTCTAGCGACAAAAGATACAAAATATTGTATCTATCTATTGGAGAAATGACCAAGAGGCAAGAATATGCAATAGCTTTGGCTTAGTATGTAATTATGTGAGCAACAGCAAAAGTTGCATTTCTAAAATCAACAAGAATAACAACAAAAAAAAAAACAAGATACTTTCTTAGTATCTGTGCTGCTGAAGAGATTCTTTCTCTTCATGTTTACATCACAGCCATTATCATTACTGGTCTTGTAATGTTAGCAACAGTAGTGCACCATGTAATCTGTATTCGGTGCTCTGCCAGGTTAGGCGGTGAGGCGGTTAGGCTCTGTGAATGTTGTTTTTTGCTCGTATTTTACAGTTGATTAGCGTCTGCGTGTATTGCTGTTGTTTAACAAGCGTTTGAATTATTTGTTGTTTTATTTTATTTATTTATGATTATTTCTTGCAGTAGAAATTGTATCACAGCACATTTACTAAATGTCATTCATTTATGATAACAAACAAAACATGTTCATGTTGCTTAACACTCCAAGAACAAACAAACAACAAACAAGTATTTTGATTGCGAGTTTAATTTTCTGTTACGGCAAAATCTACGACAAAATTATTGGTTAAAAATTGTGTCAGTCTGTCTGTCGGTGGCGCGCGTAACTGCTTAATGACCTACGAATTAAAATCTACAATCTAACTGAAAATAAGAGATTTCGTGTCTGGTTGCATGGAGTTTTATAGATATTACTGTAATATGTTCTTCTAATTCTACTTTTAGTTTGAATAACATTAATTAAAGCTTTCATAATTCGTATCTTACAAATAAATTACTTTATTTTAGTTGATTTGTGGTTGCACATTGATTGTAAAATATCTAGAAATTGCTATAATTTCTTATGAAACTTAATCGATTTATTTGATGCAATAGTCCATTGCGTTTGAGAAGGATGAAACACTCTTATTTAATCTCTATTTTTTAAATGATTGTAGTTGTTGTAGAATACTTATTTGAAAGTGTTCTTTGGTACAAATTTAGAGATATCTTATCTACCAACAACATGTCTTTTCCACTCATATTTAAGAGACATAGTCTTAACCAGTGAAGTCTATAAGGAAAGAGTTCAATGGTAAAAGTATTATTTCATTATAAAATGTAGACTTATGCTATCAGGGCCCCTTAAAGATCTGAGGTAAATATTTCTGGAGTGATGTGATTTTGTCGAAGGATCTTTGAACACAAAAATCGAGACAGAATTAAAGACAAGTGCGCCTATCGTAATAAATCGATGAGTATTTATGATGTAGACGTAGTGATTATTTTTTTTTTCTCGAATGATGAAACTACTGATTCTTATATTATACTACTTATGATATTATACTTTTTCTATTCAGAGAGTTTTAATTGAACTCCTGGAATTATAAAATTAATTAAAATTAGATATAATGCTTTATTTTTTTTCTTCTTCAATGATTTTTAGAAGTTTTAAGTGAACTCCAAAATTCATATTTAGGAATTAATTTTATTAAAGTTTACAAATATCAATTTTCTTCATTTATTTTGAGAGTTAGAATGAAGAATAGCACGATTAAAGACGTTAAAGATATTTCACAAATAAACAGATGTTGCTGATCTCTTTTATGAAACATAAAACCAACATTACCAATTTAAATCTTATTTTATTGTACAAATATGCAACGACGTCATGCCATGGATAGTTTTAGCTTCTTACCACACGTTCTGTTGTTCTCCACTAAGTCACATCGAGTTAACGAGAACCTATCGCAATACTAGAGTTTGCTATATTGTTGCTATAATGATTGTCATCACTTTCATATGTCACCATTATCATCGGTACTGAATTGTAGCATCTTTCAATACTGTTTCTAATTGCTGGTTATTATCATACCATAAATGACATATGTTCAAGGATGTTTTCTTACGTCATTTAACTTCAGATTAGCGAATATAGTAATATTTTCCAAGCTTATATTAAAATCTTACCTAACACATCTGTATAATAAAGTGAAATCTAACACTATACGGGGTATAATCAAAAATAAATATGTACTTTTAAAGCATCCCTTCTGCAACTTGTTCATCAAGTTGGGTCTTGTATTGGTTGTACTGTCAGTAAGGTATAACCCTTCTTTATAACCCAATTTCCCTAATGTATGCTCTTGCTTTCTGGTTTAGATAAATCTAGCTCGTTAGGTACTAAGTCTATTTTTTCTTCTCTCTCCCCTGATTACTGGAATGAAATTTTTACAATGCTGTGGAAATCTTCTCCATTCATTTCTAAGAGGTGGTTTAGTGGGTTCAAGTCTCACACGGTGGTATGTGTTAACTAACAGATTGCTGCGGTGTTTAGTTTCTGCTTTATATGAGTTAAAAATGCAATACATTTTTAAACAGTAAAGACATCAAGTCCTGTTCGATGGATTTTATTGTAATAAGCTAAAAATCGTTTATGTTTTTTTTCGGTTTAAAAATCTTAAAATTATAATAAAAAATATTCTTATTAAAACTTGTACTTAACTTTTCTAGCACACTGTAGTCGTCATAGCAAAAAAGTCGGTCAAGTTCTCTCTTAAAACTTTAGTTTTTATTGGTTATTGGTGTTAATCAATGTTGTTTTGGTTAAAATATACATTAGCATAAATTACTTAAAACGGTTTTATAGGAAATAAAGAAGTGTCAGTCAATTTCTCGTACCGGTTTTTTTTAACGGAAGCATAGTTAATAATATTTGAGGAAATTATGCTGCAATAGGAAGCGAAATTCATGTTAAAATCGAAATTTGAAAAATTATTTAAAGAAAATTAATGTGTTTCAATGGTGTTTGGATTTCAAAAGCATATAAAAAATGAAATAAAATTTTAATAAACTTTAATTAGTTAAAACTGCATATATATACAATTTATATTAGTAAAGCTTTTTAAAATCGTTAAAAAAGTATAATTAGAGCATGAATTTCAAATTATAACACTTTTATGTAAATATATATATATATATATTATTAAAAAAACTTCCACATTAACATTAAATGAAAAAAAAAATTAAAAAATTATAACAAATTCATTCATTCACTGCCACATTTTAAATCAAGATTTATGCGGCACATTTAAAATGAAAACAAACAAAAGATACATAACCCTGCGCGCCCGCCCAGCAACAACTACCACTCCATCCACTCCAAATAAATAAATAAAAATTATAGCAACAAATTTATACTGTGAACTATAGTATCTACAATAAAAAAAGTCGTTAGTATTATTTTTTTATCAAATTTTTATAATGTGATTGTTTGCAAATTGTTTCGGATTTTTTTGTGGATCTTAAAACGTTTTGTTACTGTGTATCTGTAACATTTTTAAATTGTATCTATGATAGTTTAAACGTTGTATCTTTACTTTTTGTTGTTTCTTTTTGAAGTTATATTTTTCACGCTTTTGGCCTAAAATACACAGTAATGTTTTTTTTGTATATATGCCAATGTTTGTTTTTATGTGCGTAAGTGTTACACTTTTAACAAAATGCGAAAAAAAAACAGAAAGATATTTTATAATTTGCCAGTATTTCAATGCAATACTACACTTGTATCTCACATTATTTAGATTGCCATTGTCTTTTATTTTTGGCTTACAGATCCAAATTTAAGTACTTCAGCTTTAGAAAAATGTTGTTTTAAATGCCGCCATCATTAAAAGAAATAAAAAAAAAATGGCGTAATGATTTTTTTTTGCTACTTTAAGCAAATTTTTAAGAGTCTTAATTTTTCGACAAGTTTCCTTATTTGACTTGGTTTTGATTGGTATTTTGTTTATGAGGCACTTCTTTTGGTTACTGCACTAATTAAGTGTTATCTTAATGAGGCTTTAGAATAATTTATTAAATTTTAATTAATTTAATTATAATTACTTTAAAAAAGTGTCGCTTTTTTGGAATACATAAATATATATTCTATATAATATGATGTATAGACCAAATGCGGCTTAAGTGGGAAGTTGGCTCTGACAAACACAATTAGACCCTCTGTTAGTAAAAAAACAATATAACTTTCAATACTACCCAATAAATATGTAAAATATATAGGAATATATATTAATTAATATATAGAAATTAATATATATTATATGAAGTATTTCTAAGTTTCAGGAATGTGTTGAAACTAGTTGATAATGGTACCCACATAGCTGGCAACACTAATCCGATTATATCAAACGAACATTCGTTTGTAAGGTTACATACTTTTCTGTAGGTAGTCAGTGAAATATCTGAAGTAATACACTATGTGATGCTTTATTACTATAACTACTAAGCTATAAAAACATGCCAAACAATTTGTGCGAAGTAGTTCAATTTTGTTCCAAAAGTTTCGATGTCAAAGATATACCTCACATTGGTCGGTTAGTCACTAAAAATAGGATAAAATTTCTTAATTGATGGAGTAAGACCAATATGCAAGTTGTTAGCAAATAGAGAAAGCAATAAATATCAACCACATGACAGCTTGAAGTCATTTGAGTACCACATAAATTAATGCAAAGAAATTTATTTGACCGAATTACCTCCGTGTAACGCTAGTGAAATTAAACGAAACTCAATTATTTTTGAAACGAATTATTTTGAACGATGAAAAATAGATTAAATACAAGTATATTCAACGCAAGTAATCATATTCACGGTAATCCTCCAAAAACGACTGTAAAGCCTGCATTGACGAGGTTATTTTGAATATTTGGTGAGATTGGAAGAGAATTATCCATTATGAGCTGCTCTAATTTGGTGCATTGAATAATATGGTCCCCTACTGCTAACAACTCGACACCTTATATGGAATAAATAGGGAAAAACAGAGAAGCGCAAAGAAATATTTGTCCCCACAAACATTTTGGGAATTTTTGATACATCTACCGTATAGCCCCGGACCTTGGACCGTTTAAATACGGTTTCTTTCGTTCTTTGCAAACTCTATTTATTACAAATAAATAGATTTATTTATTTATAAATTACAGAAATTTATAATGGCCAGTAGTTACTTGATTTTAACGGATTTTCAATGAAGACCATTTGGTTTCGAAAGTATCGCAAAAAACCGAAAGTACATTTTATCATTATATTTTTTTTATTATGGTATATTGTTGATTAACCAATAGAGATTTAGTAGGAGCTCTACAGTTTTTATTGGGCACAGTGGGAAATATCTCATGACAAATTTTAAATCTAAAGAACGGCAACGAATCATTATGGTTAAAGTACTGTGGAAATTGTTAAACTACAGTGATTACATTGGACTAGGCATAAATAAAAATGGAGAAAAATACGTTTGCGCACATGACGGACACGGACATGTCCAAGCAGATTATCAAAAGATAATACCCAGTGGATGGCGTACTGCCGGCGATTATGTTGAGGTGAGCACGTAATAAAGACGCTCAACAACTGTTTCAGATCTATAAAGTCTTATACATAGTGACGACTAAGAATGCAGTGGGTTTATAGTTTTAAAGCAGATTTGCGGTAAATGCGACTTAACAAGTTCCATATAACAAAGGGATAGCAAAGGAGATGGATAAAGTAATTGACGCACATATCTGTATAATCATAAGACAATGATGATGATTATAATAATAATGATGATTAACAAATGTCATATACAATATAGTTATTATGAGCACATTGAAACTATAATAACATATTTAAATCAAATTTAAGTTGTCAATTTGCCTAAATGTAGATATTTAAATTTAAAATACCAAATTGGCTTCAATTGTTCTGTCGTGTTATGAGATATTTAACTAAATTGTTCTTAACAATAATCATATTAAACTAAAAATTTAAAATTAAACGTTTTGAATATAATTAAATTGTTTAAATGCAATTTAAAATTTATGACTAAAAACATTAAATGCACGAAATTTTATTTAAACAAAATTTTTTGTATAAAAACACAATTTTATGGGAAGAAGAACTCAAATCACAAAATCTTTCAACTGCAACAGCTCTAAACGATTCTTAAAATGCTACGCCTACTGAATACTGTTGCGCTAATTCTAATTGTATACGGCGTGGGATTAACAACTTCCTTGCCGCATCCGCCCACAACAACTGCACCACTAATTGCCGCCAGACAGACTTACGACACAAAATTTGATAATGTAAATTTGGATGAACTACTTGGACAGGAGCGTTTATTAAAAAATTACATTAAATGCTTAGAAAGTACTGGACCATGCACACCTGATGGCAAAATGTTAAAGGGTATGTAATAAATATAATATTGTATGACTTCCTATTTTTCGTAGAGCAAACTTAGTTGGTAGTAGATGGGAATGGCTTTAACAAATATGTTAATGTGAATATTTTAAGGATTTGCTAATTTTAGAAACTCTCCCCGAGGCGATGTCAACGAATTGCGCCAAATGCTCGGTGAAACAGAAGTACGGTTCCGACAAGGTAACACATTTTTTGATCGACAACCGTCCCGAAGATTGGAAGCGTTTGGAGAAAATCTACGATCCGCAAGGAGCATACCGCAAGCAGTATTTAGCGCAGAAGGAAAAGAACAATTCGATGAGCGTAGAGGAGGCACAGGAGTCAACAACATTTTTTGAAACGTGACAATTATTATGACCCATTCTAACTTATGACGAATTTGTAGCCAAGCTGTTATATAATGTGCACACCTACAGAATAAAGTTTACACTTGCAAGGAAAACGGTTAGATTTGATTTTATTTTTATTTTTTTATATATATATTTTTAAGTTTTGGTTATAAAGATTTATGATTTTGCTACGCTCTTTAAAGGTATAAATCAGTGTTTACTTCAGTAAAAAGTTGACTTAAGTGACTTTTCTCATAAATCTTCATTTAGTTTACAATTCTGCGGTTATTTATGAGCAAAGTCTTTAATCAATTTAAGTCAATTCTCAAAACGCCTTTCATTCCACTTGCAATATTAAAGTCATGCTTGAAAGGTGGAAGAAGTGTATATTGTATTTAAAAGTAAAATGATACCATGAGAGAAAGGTGGAACGAATAATTAAATAATAAACAAATAAATATTTATTTAATTATTAATAGATCCACAGTATATAACTAAATAATTTAGGTCCGGAAATCTATTTAAAGCAATTTCATACAATTAGGATACAAATTAGAACAGATACAAATTAGAACACAGGACAGTATAAATAAGTAGTGATTGCGATGGCTTGCTAAATATGCTGGTCAATAAAATTAAGGATTATTTAAGGAAATGAATCGAGTCTTCTAAGTTTATAAGAATTATGTTTAATACTTTTTTTAATATCTTAAATAGTTGAAACCACTTAGCATAGAACAACATACGTTTAAACTTTTTCCAATGTCTCAGATAGTTTAAACCGCAAAGAATGCGTCTACAATAGTTCAAGAAAATTAAGGATTATTTAGGAAAATGAATAATTTTCACAATTTTTAAAGAGTATAAGAATTATTTTTTTCTTAATTTTATATATCTTAGATAGTTAAAAAAAATAATAGAAATATTTTTTTATACTTTTTTTCAGTACTTTATGACATAAATGTATTAAAATTTTTATACTAATTTATCATACGGAGATATACAAACAAGCACTTAAATAATAAAATTCTCTACATACATATCATTAGATACATTATCTAAAGATCTGATGTATTTCATCAGCATATTGAATCAGGCGCATTCGCATAAAGGTTGGTCATTCAACTTTTATAAGAACGTATTGCGTTGGAAAGATTAAGGGTAACTTCCTGACACTTTCAATTTTATAACTACATAAGTTAGTATTACTCAGTTGAGTATTGTGCCATGTTCATTATTTTTCCTTACTGCATCTGAAGCTTAAACACATATCATAAATTCAAAAAAGTTCCTTTTTGTCTTTATATGGGTGTTTCAAATAAACAAAGGATGAATCATTTAAATTATTTTGAAAAATTTTATAAATTTTTCAAAATTTTAACGGAATTTTAATGATTGTCCAGTTAAGAATGTTAATGAGTAATCTCTCTCCAAATGTAGTTTATCAAAATAGTTCTACATTATTATTCATTCATATTTTACATATGTCATTTTGATTACATTTTATAAGGTGTGATCCATTTCGACTAAATATTCATTGAAATTAGTTGTGAAAATTATTGCTACAATTTAAAGATGACTCATATACCCATACATGTAGATTATATATTTTATAAAAAAGAAAATAAAAGAAAATATAATGGACATATAAAATAAAATAAAAATATTTTAATAAACTTAAAAACATTACTAAAGTTCCGAATAGCAATTTAAATCATAGTTTATTTATAAATAATAAATTTGCTGGTAACCGAGTTAATTACTTAATCGAAGTATTATTACTTAAATGATTCTAACCACCCTGTATGTATGTATATTATTTGAAATAAAATAATTTCAGCTCTTTAAAAAATAAACTTTGTTGTATAAACAAATCAACCTGTAAGTGTGTAACATATGTTATTTGAAATACAAATAATTTCAGCTATTTAAAAAATAGACTCTGTTATATAAACAAATCACCCTGTATGTATGTATAAAATTTGACTTAAAAATAATCTTAGCTATTCAAAAAATTCTGTATCTCTATATATATTATTGACATAAAAATAATTTTAGCTCTTTATAAAATAAACTCTGTTATATAAACAAATCACCCTGTATGTATGTATATTATTTGAAATGAAAATGATTTAAAAAAATCCAATAATATTTCACTTACATTTTCAAAGCTTTAACGATATATAGAAAAATATTGCCAAAAAGTAAATTGCTTACCTGAAAAAAAAAAATAAAATAAATTATTTCAAAAACATACTTTATTGATTTTTATTGTTTTTTTTTTGTGACTTATTGCTATATTAGTTCCTAAAATAATAAACATTAAAGTGGCTTACCCGTAATAGATAAGATCAGTAACAAATACACGAACTAATTGCGGTCAACAGAAATAAAATCGCTTAGATACTTAAGTTACTTAAATACAACGAAATTAACTAAATATATATATCTATATATATACGTGCATTAAAAACAGTAGACAGACATTGAGGCGGGAACTAAGGTGAAATTAAGTTGAGGAAGGAAGAAAAAGATACTTGCGTACACGCAAAGTCGTATTTAAAAGTACACATGAATTCGTAATAAAATACACAAGAAGTCAAGTAAATTTGAGTTGTCTTACGATTGAAGTCAACTGAGTTAAAAGGTCAAAACAGCACCAAAGTAGTTAAACTGACTGACTTACACAATTTTCTTGATATCTTTTCTCGCTTGAAATTCATTACAGGTAAAAAGCCGTCAATTTAACGTTTCAGCGTCTTTTTTGTTCAAAATTTGAATTTTATTACCTGTTTGGTGTCGCCGCGGCGTTTCCAAAAAGCGGCTTGTTTCAAAAATAATGTTTTCATTTAGTAAAAATATTTATGTTTAATTTTGAAAACAAATTTTAGGGTATTTAAGCAATATTACTCATTTTTTGACGGCATAAAACCCAACTTGTGCTTGTCACAGTTGAACGCGTGCGTCAAATTTCTTCCTTTTAACCTCTCCATGTTCAAATACGATGGTTTGGGTTTACATTTGGATATAACAATTGTACTTCAATTTTTGTTAATTTAAATAATTTTAATATTTTTATTTTATGTTTTTCATTTTAATGTGTTTTTGTATTGTCAAAGTACTTCAATTTTGTTGTTTTGTGTAATAATTTGATGTTTTTGTTAATTTCTTTTTTTTTTGCTTTGAGATTTTTAGCTTTTAATTGAGACTTTTGTTTTTAATGGATTCAATTAGTAAAAAAATGATTATTCAACAAAATATTGTCAATTATTTGTTGCATTTAAAATTGCTGTTATTTTTTTTACAAATTTTTTCCTATGAATTTCAATTATTTATTTGGTAATAATTGATATTATGCAATTTGCGGTCTGGTTACTTGTTAAGATTTTCAAAATAGTTTTTTTTTTACTTATTTTGATATTTGAATTTACCATACTACCGACTTGTAATTCCAGTAATTATCACTTCGGTTATAGTCAAAAATATTTTCACTTCATAATACTAAAATTGAATATTTGCATAAGTCAAATTACACAAACCATTCACTGAATTTGATTTATTTGATAGATTATTTGATGGATTTTATTTGATGGTTTGAATATTTTGGTAGCGAGATTAAACCATGATTTTTAAAAATTTTTTAAATAATAATATTGTGTAATGTACTAAAAAATAAATAAAATTGCTACTAAATTTTATATATCCTTAAATTTCTAATACAAGTGTCACAAAACCAATTTTTTATACTATGTTCAGACACTACTTAATTACGCAAAAATCTTAATTTCATCTTCTTAGTTAGTTATGTTGAGTCTTTTCAGAGTTAGTGCACACTTTTATTCTATGATGGCTGGGGGGTTTCTGCAGAGTTCCACCCATCTCACTGACTGATTTGAGTATTCCTCATAATCGTCGTGATTATTCGATGACTGATCTAAGTTCTGCGTACCGCCCCGTGCGGTTAGTGATTACTCTGAGATAGATAGTGCTAAGTGGGCAACTTCATTTCAGCGAAATTAAGTTGTTTTTTCCATACACAATTCAGTTTTGAGGTTAGAACGCTTGTGAAAGAATGTTATACTCTATTGCAATTTGAGTCCTAGTTATGTTTCCCACTGCTTATGGCTTATGTTATGCTTAGTTATGCTTAGAACATTGTATGGCTTATGGCACCATAATGCTACAACCATCCATATCTATATTCAATTCCTATTCACACTATTACTTACTTACGAAACCATTTTACATATAACGTGACCCTAACTGTCTATATACTGTGGTCCTCAGCGTTTTCCTATTTTTGTTCTAACAATTATCATATGAAGACATTTTTATAAGATTCCAAACTTTAAATAAAAAAAAGTGGTTGTAATCATTAAGGTAATTGCTTCAGAACACAAATTGGGCCCAATGTTTCCCTGGGAACGTAATGGAATGAAGAAAAAGAAATATTTTATACCTTATAAGAAAATTGTTTTTCTATAGAATGTAAACGCACGCTATATATATTTATCTTTTTTATTTTTATAAAGTTTATTTTACTTTATTTATTAATAATAAAAATTTCAATAAAATTAAAAAGAGAAGGTTTACTTTATTTAAATATTATGAATTGTTTTTATAATGTTGCAGTCGGCAATGGTAAAAAATGCTGTTAAGAGCACATTAAAAATCCTTAGCAGCTTTATTTTTTACAGTGCAAAATTGGACATTATAGTCTTAAGAAGTAGGTAGAATGTATCTTAATTAATTTATTTTCCTTAAATATATGTTTAAATTGAATATTAATTTTATTCTTATTAGTTTTATTGACTCGAAACCAATTTATGTGAATTTTTATTACCACTTTTTCGTAAGCAAAATTGTTCATTTAATCGTAAACACCCACGTTTTTAACAAACTTTGTATATTTTAAGGTAAATTAACTCTGCGTGTATTTGTATCTTAAATTAAGTTATATAACTGTATAATACGACACGTTTCAATCACTTATGTATTCATACATGTATTTAAATTCTGTTGTGTTCTTTAAGAAACCAAAGCCTTAGAAGTGTTCCTCTTTACTTGAAAATACGTGTATCTTACCGTAAATTGACACGCATTTGTCCATTTCAAAGTGCA